CAGTATGTTCGGATCGATCGGCAGGGCTAACTAGGATAGAATATTAAAGCCAATTTTGATATCAAAAATATATTTTAATTTACAACATACAACACTTAGCGCAAAACTCAAATGAATAAAGGCTGATAGTTTCGAAAGAAACTGTTTGGGGCTGCGTCGGTGGGAGTAACGAAATAATATGGATATATCAACAAAGTTGAAATGGTAAATTAGCCACCGTAATGATTACAAAAGCTGACGTTTCGAGCGTTAGCCCTTCGTCGGAGCGAATAGAGGAATTGTGGGTTGTGTGTGCTTTTAAAGGCAGAAAATGGAGCTACGTTATTGGTGGGAGCATGGCACCATGGGAGTTATTGGTGGGAGCATGGCACCATCTCGTTGCCATGCTCCCACCAATAACGTAGCTCCATTTTCTGCCTTTAAAAGCACACACAACCCACAATTCCTCTATTCGCTCCGACGAAGGGCTAACGCTTGAAACGTCAGCTTTTTTAATCATTACGGTGGCTAATTTACCATTTCAACTTTGTTGATATATCCATATTATTAGCGCAAAACTGACTGAGTTTCACACGGACAGTTTTAAAACTGGACAATGAACATGGAGGTAATGCTATACTGACAACTTACCTACTCAGTTGTGGTGACATCATTGATGTCAGCAGAAGATTTATTTCAAAGATTTATTTGCTTTTCCTTGACTTTATTCAAAGGTAATTAAGTATTGAAGATGTTCTCGCAAACGATTAGATGTGAACTACACGGAAGATCTATTGTTAACCGAAACTTGTTCCTCATCAATAATTACAGATTATTCATCTTTTCGTTAACTTTGATAAAAGACAAAAGCCTCGGCGCAAATACTTTTTGCCCTTCTTTTTGAAAAAAGTGAGTGTTCGCCGATCTGCAATTTAATGAAAAATTGTAGTTAAGAGTTGCGAAACTTTTTGTTTTTTTGCTTAAGTTCATCGGACGAATGTGCATTATGTTCGTTGTCATCTTAAGATCTTCAGTCTTTCGATCCTTCAACCTTTAGGTATGTCAACTGAAAATATTGTCGCTATTTGACACTTTGACCTTTGAACCATTCAAAACGGCTCTTTTAAGTCATTAGCAATAATTGAGGGATCAAAGGGGAAAAGAAAGCTACCATAAATACTGTCACTTAGAGAGATTTAACCTTAAAAAAAAAATAACAGATATACACCCGATTCTTACGCTCAAAACGTCAGCTTGAAGAACTGTTTGCGGTGGCCAATTTACATTATTATCTGAGTTGATAAAATCGTCAAAGTAAGTTGACTAAAATGTTTAAATTACCACTGGGGGAAAAAAGTAGAAAATTTCAGCTCTGTTTTATAAGTTCTTCTCATCTATGTTTCTTTCCCTTGTCATCAATAACTGATTAGAAATTAACAGCTTCGTCTTAATTGTCAGTACTGTGCAACCCAGAAGGTAAAGTTGATTATGAAGCCATGTCACTTTGTTGCCTCTAAAACCGAAAATTAATTGAAAGGTCACTGTTATGGTAAACTTCCCAGACTCTCATCACGTAAATGGTGATTTATCTATCAAACGACAAAGAGTGCACTTTCCATGCAGTGGAAAGATAAAAGATGTCCCGAAAAACTTTTTTGTATGTGGCTTGTTAACAGTGAGACGGATCAACAAACAAACCATCGTTTTGCGTCCTTTTCTATGGCTGAACTATCTTACGTGACCAGGGGTTGATTATAGTTTTCCGATATTGACAAAAATAGTTGATGATATAAATGTAATTATGCCTCTTCGAACTTGTACGAGAAAGCAGCTGGCATTGGAAAAGTAGTGTTTTTCGAGAGTTTAAAAACAACATAAGGACTTTTACATTACTAACACTTGCTTTTGTAAGATTTCGAATAGTTGTAACAAAAAAGGAAATAAGAGAGCGTGAAAATCGTGCCCAAACTCCTTCTGATATTTTAGGAAGCAATTTAGGTAAGTTGATCACTATTGTCCCGCTGAAGATATCCTATCTTACTGTTAATCTCTGAAGAAGGGAAATATCTTCAAATACTCAATCATGCTGCCTGAACGATTCTTATCAGAGTTTATCAATTCATTGACTATCGCATCTTACGTAATACTGCAATGTGAATTACAGTCTTGATTATAGTAGTCATCAAGATTAGGATTTCATATCACTGTGTAGTGCGTAGGTTACCAACCATTCAACCACGAAAATGGGATCTAATGTTCGCTTACACAATATATGCCATTATGGCAGACAAGGCAGAAATTCTTCACTGAGCTGAGACCCATATGCATGCAAATTAGAAGTTATCAACCGCGGGTAGTAGCGTAAAAAAAGTTAATGCCAACTGCAATACAAGACTCTACTTGCTTGCAGTGAGGTTCAAATCAGGAGGAAGAAAGAGAGTTTATAAAGACTATCTTCTTTCGACAACCGATCAAAATGAGTTATGATTTCATTGATGCTTGTCATCGATATCATCGACAGAGTCATTTTAATCAGTTCTAAATCCATATTTTCCATAGTTCTTTCCCAAAGGCAAATATACAGTATGTTAGGATCGATCGGCAGGGCTAACTAGGATAGAATATCAGGCGCGTAGCGTGGTCATTTTTTCTAGTACGCACAAGTACATATGATCTAGAAACCTAAGTAAACCGAGCGAAAAATATTGCGTTCTTTATTTCTTGTTTGAAATAGTTGTGTGGATACAAGCAAAGAACAAAGCGTCTTGCCCTTATTTTGAGCAAACTTGGCGCAAACACAACATTGTTTTCAATTTTTTCTGGTCACTTCAAGTACGCGCGTGCGTATATGCGTAGAGGACGCTATGCGCTTGAATATTAAAACAAATTTTGATATCAAAAATATATTTTAATTTACGATGGTACCAACATACAAAACAGCGCAAAAACTGAGTTTCACACGGCGACAGTCTTAAAACTGACAATGAACATGGGGGTAATGCTATGCTGACAACTTACCGACTCAGTTGTGATGATCTCAATGATGTCATGAGAAGATTTATTTCAAAGATTATATTTAGTCGATTTTCCTCAACTTTATTCAGAGGTAAATATCGAAGTTGAACTCGCAAGCGATCAGATGTGTACTATACAGAAGATTTATTGTCTACCGAAACTTAATTCCATCATCAATAATTACCGATTATTCATCTTTTGGTTAACTTTTGATAAAAGAAAAAAGCCTAACTTATTCATTTGGTAATTCTAATGTAAACCGGCTTAATTATCGAACTTGCAAATTTCTGGAAGAGTTAATGGTTTTAAAAAAGTTTAGCTCAATTGGTAGAGCGCTGCACTAGTATCGCAGAGGTCAGTGGTTCGAATCCCGTACAGGCCTGAATTTTTTTCAGGTCTGATTTTCACTATTGCTTAAATAGTGCTTTACTGCGAAGGATCGTGCACATATACGTTTCATAACCGCAGTTCATATATATGTATTTCATATATATTTGTTGTTTAAAAAACTTTATTAGCTACATTGGTTGTCAAATCCGTTTTCTCTGTCAGTGGTGAATCGTCCTGATCAAACAAGTGGGTGCAAATAATTTTCGCCCTTCTTTTTGAAAAAGGTGAGTGTCCGTCGATCTGCAACTGATTTAATGAAAAATTGCAGTTAAGAGTAAACATTGATTCCGCTTTTGAACAGATTTGTCGAGTTATAACGGAAATTATGATCATTTCCTTCGAAACTGAGGCGGTTCTTTTTCTCTCGAACGCAACTTATAGACGTTAGATTGTATTTTCCAATTTCCGAAAAGGTTCCAGATAAGACCGTCTTACAAAAAGCTTCTTTTTAGTTCAGAAATTAAAGTATTTATATTCAATTTTTTTTTTCAGAGTTGGCGTGTAGTCGCTCTCAACTTCTTTGCACATCGTCAAATGAGAAGAAATTGTCATATGTCAAAACATAGAAGTCATTCAATTTCCTGCTAGACCTTAGGAATCTTCGGTGCCAAAAATAGCTGTTTATTTTGTCACACTTGTACAAAGGGTTTCGACTCAGGTTATTTTTCTTTTCACATTTCCTTTTCAAGATTTGTGCAAGATGTACAGTGAATAATGTTTTCCACGCTTCTCAGGTAATAAATAAATCAAGCACTAACCTTCTAGAGTAAACGCGGCTAATTTCAATTTTGGTTTTGGAGTTTTGCGTTTTGGCATTTTGACATGTATGTCATGCTAAGCATAAACTCTCCTGCACATGAACCTTTTTAAAGTACAGTGAGCTATCTACTTCTTTGCATAGCTGGTGGTTTCTTTCAAGTTCTTATGCTTTAATTAAATTTTTTGTCTTTGTGTAAACGTAGACAGACAAATGAATCGTACCAGTTGACATTTTTCCATCAAACTTAGAACTATGTAGGCTATGAAACAGAAGCAATAAGAGAAATAGTGATTTTCTACCCAGAACCCTTCTTCTTGGGAGCAATCTCGTACCGCTTGTTAAATTGTAGAAGTTAAGACCTGGGCGAAAATTGCACGGTAAGTCGAAAACCAATGGCAAACTATGAAAATGGTGAAGTTAACGTTAAAGAAAGACTCTTTGAGTGGTAGCAAAGGCATGTAGTGTAGGTTAGGTAACGGAAGCAACAAGAGGACTAGTGAGTTCAATACCAAGAATTTTTCTTCCCAGGAACAATCTCGCGCTTTTTTGTTTGGTGTGGAATCAGTTTTGCTTAAACACGATTAGCTTTAAATTGTAAGAAATTAAGCCTCGGCAACATTTGCACGTTAAGTCGGTAACCATTGTCAAACGATAAAAGTGGTGAAGTTAAAGACACAAACTGTCTCTTTTCAGTTTTAAGCGAATCAAAGGCACATTTAGGATAGCTTTAAAGACCTAATTTTATGACAAAGCATTCCAATTTTAAGCTCCAAGCCAAAAAAGATACGAAATGTCTCAATCGATATGATGTGTTGATGTCTTCAAACTTTGTTTTCAGAGCTGAGCTGTTTCCTTTCCGTCAAGTTTGGAATCTTCGTTACACCATGTCTTTGTTTACATATACTGAGCCGGCACAGATCGGTCTTCGTACAGCGTTTTCGCTTATCGTGACAGTCAACCTTATCGGCAATGCATCGGTCTGCTTGGTGGTTTGGCGGAACAGACAGATGAGAACTGCCATGAACTTCCTACTCGTCAACCTTGCTTGCGCTGACATGATGGTGGCCATCTTTATAGCACCACAATATATATTCCTCCATACGTATAAAAATCCAAATGGCCTCACTGGAGATTACTTGTGCAAAATAGTCACAGGGGGGAACCTTATGTGGACAGCGGGAGTTGTGTCGGTTGTATCGTTAATTGGAGTTGCGTTTGAAAGATACTTCGCGGTGCTGTATCCTCACGACGAGAGCCGTCGTATTTCGAAAACCAAACTTAAATTTATCATCCCAGCTTGTTGGTTATTTTCCATCAGCTGGAATTTTCCTTTGTTTCTGCTCGTTAAATACGACGCGAGTTTGGATTTCTGCTACGAGGAATGGCCTCCTGGTTGGTATATGAATGCTTACAGCTTGGGATGGCTCATCATAATTGGCATTCTGCCGGTCACCGTCATGTCCGGGCTGTACAGCCGGGTTGTTTATCAGCTTTGGGTGAGAACATCACAGCCAGTAGATCTCCCCCAACGTGCCGTAGTCAAGTCACGCAAGCGTGTCACGAAAATGGTGTTGTCCGTGACAGTTTTGTGCGCTGTATGCTGGCTTCCAAACCTCATTGCCTACGTTCTTGATTTCTACGGTTTGAATTCTCACGGTGATGTAGTACACACGACAACAGTGGTTCTGGTTTCGTTAAATTCGGCTGTCAATCCAATTATCTACTGTTTTCAGAGCAAAGATTTCAGAAGGCATATTAAGGCACTATGGCTTTCTCCTTGCTCGAAGCGACCGGGTGCAACAGTAGGAACTTCAAAGGACACTGCTGCTCTACCTGCAAGTAGGTCGCGAGCTACGCAACCGTTCTAAACTGACTCTACTTACTAGAGACGAAATCATAAATGTTTTGAGCGATATTTAAGGATTCCAGGTTTTGAAGTCGTGGTTGATTCCTTACTTATACTCTGATAAGTTCGTTCCATAAAACACATTCTTAGGAGGCTTTACATGACCTGGCTGGGGGGGATGTGTTAACTACTCGGTTCTGCAAAAAATTTTTTATTCATACACACAGTAAACAAAGTAAGAATCCTATGTAGAACCAAACTCACGAGTTTATATACTTGGTGGCATTTTGCATATATTACGGTTGGGACAATGTATACTAATTAACAAGTATTTATATTGTGACAAGACGTGACAAGACGTGAATGGCGGAATGAATAGGGTTAATGATAGCAGTCAAATGAATTGCTGATTATGCAACAGGATGCTTTCCAATAGTCGCACTAAGCCAACTAGCCCTTTTAATGCTAAATAGGGAGGGGTGGGGGGATAGGCTCTAGCATTTTCTCTAGTTTTTCTCGAAGGAAAATTACACTCTGAGAAACCATGTAGACTCGGTCCTATATGTACAATTGTGACTCAAAGTGAGAGCGTTTTGCCTTCGTACGCCGCCAATTTCAGTCTTGGCCGGAAAGACTAACCGCTTGTATGCTGCGTCAAAACCCGGAATCACTCGCTCAAAAAAAAAAAATGTTAGGTTTTGGATAACCAGAGTTCCAGCTTTTGGTGAAGCGCGAGTCCATTTAGTTCCCGCCATTTACTAACTCAGTAACCAAGCCATGTCTGCGGCCAGGTTCCTGGGTTGTTTTCAAAATGGCGACGTCCGAAGTCGAATGCACAGCACATTTGCAGACAATTCCAAACGTTCGTGTAACTATGTGGAATCTCAAACCACGGTATGTACTGAACGTGTTATATACATACTTTTTCGAGGGTGATATAAGTTTTAAAGAGTACTTTTCTACCTTAAATGAGACTAAAAATTTAATTGGAGTTTTGGAAACATGCGAAACAATCTACGAGTTCGGTTCTGTCCTCGTGTACCGGTTCACTAGAGCCGATACAAAAGACCGAACAATACACAACAGCTGACCAATGACTCCTAAACAAAGAAAGAACAATGGTAATTCCCTTGTGAACTGGAGTTCAGTGACCTATTTTGGGTGAGCAGTGCTGTGCATTGGGACACCGAGCTAACTCGAACTGTCCTGGAAAACGAAAGAAAGCATTTAGATTTACAGGAGAGTTCTAGTCAGCTTGGCTCGATCGTGTTAACCGAGTGCGTGTTACGAGTTTCAAAATGATCTGACTCAGCGTAACTGAATTCACATAACTAATTTGTAATTGGAGTAGTCCTTATACTATTTATTGGCTTTGCGTGACTCTGTTTAGTTTTGACAAAGGAAGTGAGAGAGGAAAGACCAAAGCTTAACGAAACATCAGTTCAAATACACATATTTTTCATCTATGTAAAATATGTATACAGCACATTCCACAAAGTTCAATCACTCATGGCGGAGTTAACAAAAAAATAACAAACTGTGAGGTTATGATTACAGAGCTTTTAATCTCTCTTGCTTCATACATTACAAGGTGCGAAGGTTTAAAAATGGATTTGAATTTAAAATTCCACTCATAGACTTTTCCAATTTAAAAAGAAAGGGAACTTAGACTCTGAAATGACCTGTTCAAGAAAACTGAAATGTGCCGTTCAAAGACTTCACAGGCCAGGAATCTTTTCCTTTTAAAGGCTCGTTCTAAAGCAAAACATCTTGCTCTGTGACACATCTCGAATTCTCACGTTTCGTAATATTGCCGTTTATCCCCGTCGCCATATCGGACCACCCCAAGATGTGACCAGGATGTGGATACTCTTTGCAGTGCATGCTCAAGCTCGTTATTATGCTGTCCTCTAAATCAGCGTTCCAGAGGTACAGATGGCTCATTTCTCCAACAAAACTCTGCTCTCGATCAAAGGCACCCCCTAAAATATCCTGATCTTGGCCCAGAATTAATTTTCCAAAGCCAGGAATGACTCCATGGATTGATGTGTTACTGCGTATCTCATGCTTTCCGTCTACGAACAGGTGCACAAAGCCATCACTGTCCGCCCATTTGCCACAAATTTGATGCCAGACTCTGTCGTTATAGGTACCAGTGTGACTGTGCCTGTAGAAAAAGTTTTCCCGATGCATGAGAGAGCAGACCTACGACTTCCGACAACTTAGGGAAAAAATCAAGGAGATTCGAAGTTTAAGAAGAGAAAACAAAAGAACGAAAATGAGGAAAAAGGCCTTTGCTTTAACCCTAAACCTTACCCCAAACTTTAACCCAAACCCCTCCACCTGAAGCTCAGCCGTTGTCTCCCACAATGGTCTTACTGATTAGAAAACAAAACGAATATCAGTCAGTGATGGAAGCCATCATTTACTCACGTTTGTTTATTGAGCACCAAGAATCGAAATAATCCTGTTTCAGAAAGAAACATCATAATAGCATCAGTCATGTTGTCAGTGGCATAGGACAAAAAAACTAACTGGCGCGCCCAGGCTCTGAACCAAAAGCAAACCGTGAAGGCGGAGAGGTCTGGTAAATAGGTGTTCAGTTCTACAAAGTTCGTTGTGTTACGGTCCAGAAATATCAAGTCAAACGATGCACTGGTGTCTGTTGAAGAAAGTATGGCCATTAGAGAAGGTCATTTTCGATCATTTTGATGGAAGTATTTGCTCTCATTTGAGATATATGGTCCCATAACATGAAAGTAAGTGGTCCAAGTAGAGCGTAGTCACTATTTCGAGTCAATGTCACGAATATTGTCGCTTATAACGTCACAAATATTTTTGCATACGTGCGATCGGTCAAAGCGCATCACGTGGCCGAATATCCCTCAACCAAAAACTTACATCCAAAATGAAAAACTCTGCGCTTAATATTTAATTCAACATGAGAAACGTAGAGTGGTTGTTACAGAAGAAGGAACATGTTCTTTTTGTTCATAAAATTGTATCAGAGAACCCTGAAAAGTGAACATCCCTGACCGTAAACGGTAAGCTGCTCGTAAACATTTACCCTGTGCGTTGAAAATATTTAAAGAATAAAAAACAATAGCCTCCATTTGGCGCGAAATCGTGCTTGTATATTTGTCCTTGGATGTTATCTGTTCCTCGAAGCTCACAATTTTCCTCGTAGTTTCGCTCTTGGAAAACTGATCGTATCTCGGAACAGATAATGTCTGTCGTGCTAATTTTCGCGCCAAATAGAGGCTACTGTTTGTATAAATGACAGTCTGAATTTTTCTTTTAAGTAGGAGCATGGCAAGCTAGGTATGTTGCATAAAAATGGCAACTTATTTCAAGGGTTTTAATTTCGAGACTACCTCCGCCTCGACAACGCGGCGTAGAAATGCAGATTTTATATATAATTGATGATTATTTATGTATATTTTAGAGATATTTTACCTATTCAGTAACGATTTTATCTCGTAAAAAAAAACAGATTTTAGTGTATAATTCGTAATGCACAAGTTACCAATCTTGTCAATATTTTGACATTTTATTTACATTAGGATTTATGTCTTTCATTATAAATACACGACCCCACAAGCTTGTAGCTTTAAATTTTTATCGTGCTTCAATAAATGTCATGCATCCATCCATCCATCCATCCATTTCCACAATCTAGGAAATAAAGCTTTTAATGGCAGGTTAGACCGAGTTTTTCTTCTTTTTCTTCTTTTGAAGGAAACTTGTTTAACTTAACAGACTAAAAAATGATTACGTATGTATGCTCTTTTATTATTACCTCCTCCATTTGTCATGTTGCAGAAGGAAACATAGGGATCTTCTGTTTCGTTTGAATTCAGCCAATAAAATCCATCATTTGCAGACTCCTCTCGTGATAAGATTTCCTGACATGTTTTACCAGCGACATGACGTTGAGAGCCTGCAGATACTAATAATAAAAAAAGAATAATAGCTTTAAACTAGGCGCTTATCCTGAATTAAGCCAGTTCTTTGATTTCATTCGGCTTGGGCCTGTCCTATGTACCTGTAGGTTTTTTCGTTTCAAGGGCAGAAGAAAGGCTGAAAAACTTAAAAATCAACTGTGATATACAATTCTGCTTTCCTTCCAAATTGAATTCACTGTTGCTAACGTGTGTAACAGTTCAGAGCAATATCAAATAAACTCTGGTCTTCTTAACGAACAGGGACACATTGCAGTTTTATCTTTCCCGAGATAAGTGGTCATAAATGGGGTGTTTGTTTTTACAGTAGAATCGAAAAGATTTAAATGATGTTTGTGCGATTGCCGACGTAATACACAATGCACTTTAGATCAAAATTTTAATTCACGTTCACCTGATCGTGCTTGATATAAATTGGTCTATTTTACCTAGGTGATAATTTCAGAAGTCACTTCAACAATTTACAATAGAATTCAACTGATTCACAAGACACTGAAATTAGTATTCAGATTGTTCAAATAAAATTTGAAAAAGTGTATTTCAACTTGTAACATTTTTACAAGGTACAAGATGCAAAAAACCTAGTACAGCTTCTTTGTATTCATTTCATTTACCTCTGTGACGACTTTCAAAATATATAGACATTAAAACTTCCTTCAAATCTTGTGGATGCGATGTCTCGGTTGCGTTGTTGAGCTCGCAAAGTTTGTGGTCACCATTGTAATTCATACTTCGACATTTTGGTTCATTCGCTTTACATTCTTGGTAGCAATCCTGAAAGTCTTTGACAGTGAAACTTGAGAAGTTATGTCCTGTAAGGGCTAAGCCCAGGCCTGACTTAACTTCGCAATCAGCGTGGACTATTGCTGCGATAGTAATGGTAAAGCCTATTCTGAAGATAGCCACGATTATAAATGCTTTGGAGATTTTCATGTTCTAAAGATCGAGAAGGTCACTCGCTCTGTGTCAATTTAGTTTTGTTAAAACTGACAAAATGAAGATAAAATGTCTTTATCCATAGATGTCTGCGTTCTACAGCCACTTCTTGCATTAGTGGCGATTCTTTTGATTTTTTTGTGTAATGTTATGAAGAACTGCACAACATTAATTTTTCATGAAGTGCTTGTCGTATTCAAAATAAACCTTTTCAAGCAACCCACGAATTCATCATCGAAATACTAAGCTTGACAAAAAGGCTTGGATAAACTCAGCGTGAATTCCATCAGTGCTTAACTCAAAGAAAAAAAGTGATAAAGGATTGACTAAATTTATGGCTAGTACACACAAGGAATCTTTTTTACTACTTGTTTCAGTTCTAATGAATCGGCTTTTCGTACGACTGAGCCGAGATTCCATACATCACCGAATAATTACTAATTCATCCTTGAACTTCACAGCTGGAGATGTTAACCGTGATTAAAGTATTGTTTTTTCTGTTTTTCTCTCATGATAAGGTGTAGCGCAAAATTCTGTGTACGTAGTATTGGAGAGAGGAACCGGTTTTAGAAACTTGCTAATAAAAGTTAAGGTCTCTTAGGAGCTTGGAAAGAATGAGAACGGAGTTAACAAAAGGCGTAGTTCCCGCATACAAGATAGAATATCACGCAGGTGTTTTTAAGGCTTCCCTGTGGTTTAAAGGGAACCTTTGTCCAGTTTGCAAAAGGTGGAAAACTGTTGATATTCACCAAATAAGGCAGCTAAGTAGCAAGCGATCGCAAGGTACAAAATGGACCTTGTTGAAGGGTAAATTGTTTACTGGGACATCGAGAGCAAAGTTAAGCTTTTTCTTTTTTCTTTTAGAAAAAAATCAAGTAGCTCTTACGGCTTCTGTACACAAGCTCAAATGGAATTCTACCCCGGGTTGAATCACCTAGAGTGCTTAAAGTATACACTTTACACAACCACGGGTTGTCAGTCTGCGCCAGCTTGTTGCATTGTTTCTGTGCCAGTGTATTGGGAAATAGCGTTCTTCAAGCCAATTCTGTGACAAAGTTACATCGATTCTACTGTGGAGCAAATCAATAAGTACCATTAGTCCACGAGAAACGTGTGGTGGATCCTGACACCTTTAAAACGTATCCCTTGGCTACGAAAAAATGGAAGCCATGTTGACTAACTTGTGAAAGCTTTATGAATTCTTTGTTTCTCATTATTCTGATCATGACGTGTTGGACACTCTCCATTAGGGAACGGATTTCAATTTGAGATTTTCTTGGGATATTTTATGAAAGATGTATTTTTTATGTAAAGATGAAAATAACAATTTTTAAAAATCGAGTTTCCAGATGGAATTTGAACCCACGACCCTCCGTGATCTAGTCGGATGCTCTAACCACTGAGCTACAGGAGACTCTATGGTGAGCAAAGGTCAATTAGTGGGTATTGACTGGAACCGCATCACGCGGCTACACAGCCAAACATTGTTTATTTCATCTTTAAAATAGCAAAGTCTTTAATTCACTTGATAGCCTGCTCGACATAAATCCGTACATTAACAATAAGTAATGTGTTCCTAACATCAGCACCTGACATCTTGAGATTGGAATGCTTGGTGGGTGGAATTGTTAGAGAACATTGGTAGTATGCTAACAGGTCATGAATCTTGAATCCCCTGTCTACCATAAATTGGTCATGTGGCTGAAGATAGTTTAAGAAACCACTGTTTTCTACAATAAAAACATCAGATGACCTCCCACTGAAGGTCTCAGAGACAAATGATATGTGGCCATTTGGTGTTACCCCTATCGGTAAACTTTAAAGTGTAGTGTTGTTTGTAATTTGACCAACACATTGCCGCATTCTCTAAGCTTGATGGGGTTTCAGAGAATAGTTCTGTGCAGTCAATGATGACTCTACACTTTCTGTAATATCGTCGAAACATATCAGGCATATTTCTTTGAATTAAATACCTATCTGGCCAGGAAATCATCCACTTTAATTCTTTAGACATCAGCTTAACCCAAGTGGTAAAGACAGAGCTGACAGTCGCCTCGGAAACTTTGAACCTTAAAGCCAGATCAAATACAAAGAGTCCTAGCTTGATTCGCATCATGGTTAGCAAAAACTCTNCTAAAGAATTAAAGTGGATGATTTCCTGGCCAGATAGGTATTTAATTCAAAGAAATATGCCTGATATGTTTCGACGATATTACAGAAAGTGTAGAGTCATCATTGACTGCACAGAACTATTCTCTGAAACCCCATCAAGCTTAGAGAATGCGGCAATGTGTTGGTCAAATTACAAACAACACTACACGTTAAAGTTTTTGATAGGGATAACACCAAATGGCCACATATCATTTGTCTCTGAGACCTTCAGTGGGAGGTCATCTGATGTTTTTATTGTAGAAAACAGTGGTTTCTTAAACTATCTTCAGCCACATGACCAATTTATGGTAGACAGGGGATTCAAGATTCATGACCGGTTAGCATACTACCAATGTTCTCTAACAATTCCACCCACCAAGCATTCCAATCTCAAGATGTCAGGTGCTGATGTTAGGAACACATTACTTATTGTTAATGTACGGATTTATGTCGAGCAGGCTATCAAGTGAATTAAAGACTTTGCTATTTTAAAGATGAAATAAACAATGTTTGGCTGTGTAGCCGCGTGATGCGGTTCCAGTCAATACCCACTAATTGACCCTTGCTCACCAAAGAGTCTCCTGTAGCTCAGTGGTTAGAGCATCCGACTAGATCACGGAGGGTCGTGGGTTCAAATCCCATCTGGAAAGTCGATGTATTTTTTGACCTGTTTATTAAAAAAATCATGTCTGGCTTCCTTTTTTTCATTTAAGGCGAGAAAATATCATTTCCGGTGAGAGTATGAGAGAGTGTGGCCATCAGAGCGAGACGGTGAGATTTCAGTGACATTTTAAAATGAAGAGCATATAATTGTATAAATATTATAAAGATTATGGATTCATTAAAATTTCTGGGCACGAGAGAATTGGTTGCAACGCGCCGATCAAAACGACAACATCAAGAGAATGAGAAAGTAAAAAAAATAGAAATTATATGAAGGGGGAAATGATGAAGACTAGGGTTTTACTGAAACTTAAACTTGGACGAACTTTATGAGCGTAGTAAATTGCACTGTGTTGTCAACAGCTATCAAAACTGGGCGAATTTTAATGCTAAAAAATCAGAGGGAGATTCTCAGCCTTAAAAAATGAAGGCCGTTATTTTCTGCCGTCACAGCAAAAAAAACTTTGAAGTTTTCATTGCGGGACATATTTACTTGAAAGGACAAAATTCCTGTGGCTTTTTTTTATTCTATCTTTATTGGTTTAATAAGATGAATGCATTATCTTCTACATTTTACAGCATTGAATGATTAAAATATTTGTGGCGTCTTTTTAGGGTACGTTGATGTCCTCCAGGTCTATCTCATGATGAAACTTGTAAAGACATTTCTTTTTTGAGCCATGTTTCTGTATTGAGAACAGGAACCCGCTTTCATCCACTGCCATGCCATACATTTCAATCTTGCTTTCTTCATTCCATTCTCTTATGTAGCGGCGTTTGCCATCGTATGTGCGTTGGTACACTCCACAGACACCATTAGCCCAAAACCTCCCAGAGGAATAGAACAGGTTTCGTTTGCCATCCATGGCTAATCCCTTCAAGTTATTCATCCGTGAGCGCCCATCTTTAACGTCTAGCCAATCTTCATACAGAACCTTGATCTCCGCCCCTTCTTCCAAGATCTCGTTGACTGAAAATCCGTAATCGGAGGGTACTACACCTACTCCATCTCTTGTAGTTGCCCTGTTTGTTTTTTCCACCAACCAGTCTCTTCCGCTGTTTGAACATGCAAAGTAGTATTGGTAGTCTTTTTTTACGTTGTATTGGTTTCTAAGGTACCAATCGTTGCGGTCATACAAGTCGGGCACTGGCTTGCCATCATTCCAGCCATGGTACAATTTGTCAGGCATTCTCCAGTTGTATATGGCTCCATTGTAATGGGCATATCCAAAGCGATTTCCACAAAATGCAACGTCTCTTACATCGGCGTCCTTTCCGGGAAAGAGTTGAAGCATTGTATAGTAGTGCTCAATGCTGATGCTACTAGGTTTTGTTAGATCACCGCTTATCTTGAATAGCATGACTTTGCTTTCACCCCCAGGCAAACTGCTCTTTGCGCCAATTGCCATCAAATTGTCCTTTACCTTGATGCTTACTCCAATTGGATGGCAATGTCCACCACATTCAGATCCGGGTACCGCAAGGGCTTTGACGACATCTAGTGTTTTAGGGTCCACGATCAAGATCTTTTTGGCTTCAGGTTGTGAAACATAAAGATGACCTTCGGAGTAGTGCACAGCATTGGAATCTGAGAACTTACTACAGTCCGTTTGCACCAGTTGAACAGGGATAAGAGCCAGATCTCTTATAACGTAGAGGAAGTCCTCCTGACGCCTTCTTCGGTTCTCGGCGGTTGTATCTTTGACAAACTGTTTACAAAACGTCGTGTATTCGGGGTCGTTAGACTTTGGCCACCAAGCGCACACCTCAGACATTGTGCTGTTGTAAGATTCTTCATCATTTTTATACTTCATAGAGGCTGCAAAGACAATAGAGGCATAGCCATCTTCTTGGTATCGAAAGATTTTCTTTATGAATTTCCATGTCAGTTTCGCAGCTTCTTTAGTAGATTTTCCATCTCTAATCTGAACGTCGAAGTGATGGGTGACCAGTCCCTCATCGGTGACTAGTTGTGGGATGTGGAGAAGTGCTTTTTCAACGTACTCGTCTTTTGATGTGGTACCAAATACCTCATGGATAAATCGGGTTTGCTTGTCTATAGCCCGCTGAGAATAATCTTCACTCTTTAAGTCAGCAATAACCTCCTTCCTTTGTTGAATGATGTTATCTATGTGTTTGAAGTACCATTTGCGTTTTGATTCTTCCCAGATTTCTTCCACATCATGTCTGATGCTTGTGACGTCATTCTGTATGGCATCCAGCTTTTTCTCCATCCTTTCAAGCGCTTGAGTGACTTCATCACCACCGCAGACACTTGAAAACGTACAAACAGCGCTTTGAATGGCCGAGGCTACACTCACAGCCAAGCCGATTGCGCTAAGAGGATCCACTGCGAATCTCTTATCTCTCAATGCGGCTTCATTATTATCACCTGGGACCTCTTTGCTTAAGGTTTTACTTTCCGCATGTGGCCGGTTTATGGCCAAAAGCAAAAGAACCAAGCACAAGAGACTCTCCTTGGCAGCCATTGGACGAGTAGTACCTGACGCAGAAAATATTAGGGGTTACGTTATTAATCTCTCAATTAAACTGTACAGTATCTAGTGTAACATGTCTTTTTAATCTTGAGTTTCAAATGATGTACTGGAGAACGTGATCGAATAATAAGAGAGTAATATTGACAATACACTTCAGTTAATACTTAAATTGAAAGTGTATGCAATCCCGTTTGAGGCTTATGAGTGGTACTGTGTTGAAAATCAGGATTTGGCGATGGTGAACACCTTTACCGGGCCACGCGCTTTTTAGAAAGCAGATATCTGCGGATTGATCGCCATTAAGTGGACAAAACTCATCGGCCACCTAACGTTACGCTGGTCAACTCTCGAAACAAGAAATTAAAACTGCAGTAACGTTTTCTTTTACTCCTTTCCCATATGATATTTTGTTTTATCTGTATTTTAAGTATACTATAAGTGACTTAAAGATTTTTATATAAAGTTAGATTAACAAAAGTCTCGGTTAGGGCACAGGAACTTTCCCCAACACGCTGCGAAACGATATTAGCTGAAAACCATGTTTGCATGACTTTCGGCGTTAATCAGACTTGAGCAGCCACATTTATACGATGAAACATTGATTTTAGTCTCCGCAAATTACTCAATAATCCATGAGGAAAAGGAGATTAAATTAATGCAATCAAGTAGGTTTGGATATGTTAGATCCTAATATTCTTAAAATTTGGTTAACTTTTCTCGAAGGACTTGCAAGATGGATTTAAAAAATTTAGTCACCACTGAGTTTCATAAGATTCCTGCAAATGGTTCATGAAAAACTCAGTGCTGCCGAATTTTTACAATCCATCCTGCAATTTTTCGGTGTTTGGAGATCTGGTGAAACAGTCCCTCCAGTCGTGTTTGATAGGTCCTTTCATCGAGATTGACGAAAGTTAAGGTATCTCCAATTTCTGATTTTTTGAATGAATACGCAAAGGCTTTAAAAACTACAACTGTTTTTATCTTTCTTCACAGAGTTGACCATCATGATACTCAAGACCATTAGCAACTTTACAATAAGTATGTAAGAGAGATTTGAAAAGTAGACGAAGTCAGGAAATAGTTTTGGGACAATCTTATGATTCGACCAGGAAGTAAATAGTCCAGACATATTAGCACTCTATGCAAGGTCTGTGTACGTGTTAGAATAAACCCATTCGGTTCGTAATTACTTGTGTTTAGTTAAACCAAATGACGTTCCCGCTCAAATTCACCTCAAGATTCGTTCGCAAATTTTTTAACTTCAGTCTGAACTGAACGTCCTTTTTTCCTAAAAGCAAAAATGAGTTTACAGTAATTCTGAAGTCCTTTCATATTTGTACCCACTACAAAAGGTTTTTGCTCTTGTACATGATAACATTTGAAGTAAACGGTTCTGATACCTGTTCTCAAAGATACCATCTGCTTGTTCAGAATCTCAGTGCGAGCCAGTTACGTTGCATTTTCAAAAAAATAAATTTTAAGAGTGTAACATTACTCTAAACTAACCATGATGCACGCAGATGCAACGTGAATTCTTTCTCAACAATCATTTCACGTTTCTTACCCGTTCTCTCGAGTTTTTGTGCAGAAATGACGAGTAGTTTCGTCACATGATGAAAAAGCTATTTTTCAGTGAATAATTGATTGCTTTTACGAGGTCTTGTCCAATGAAAAACTTTTATTACCTTTTTACTACCTGTTCCTGTCACCTACCTTTAACTGGGTGACGTAATTGAAACATTTAAGTAAAAGTTGATAGGTTTTGGAAAAAAAGAAAGAACGTTTCGCGCTAAGAAATTAGAAAAAGAGAAGATGTTCTTCTCGACAGTATTCCGACAAGAAGGCATAGATACTCATTTTAATACTTTTCAGTGGTAAGGTTCGTTATAAGATCATATGTCTCCGTCAAAATTCTCCAAACTTACAAAGCATTTCTCAACGAGGTACTTGGTTTTTTTTAATCAGGGTATTAATGTCGGGGTCCTTGCAAACTATACTTACGGCCAGTCGAAATTATACAAGATCGCTGCAATCATCTCAGCGCTACAAAAACACGAATTCAACGAAAAAACTTGGAAAATCGAGCAATTGAAGGAATTCATAACTCTTTTTTTTCTTTTCTTTCGTTCATAAGTTCGAACCTGATCCTGGCGTAGATAAATGGATCACATTATGTAAACGTATCTTAATTCTACAAAGGACTTGTATAAAACCTTCATTTCCTATGTCCGAATTCAAGTATATCACTTTACCCTATGATTATTGTTTCATAAGAAATTTCCTTTGTCATGGATACTGTGGAACAGAAGGATTAAATTTCTTATTAAGCCTGACGACCCACCTTGGTTAAAAGAGAAAACGAAGTTAGTAATCAATATTTTGTTCGCACTGGTGATTTTATTTAATGAGGGGGACGCAACCATTTTGTACCAATTTCTATCCGGTGACTCAAGCTGGTTAAATGGTAAAAGAAAAATTCAATGGAACTTCCTTTTAAACTCAGTACACCTAAATAAAAGGTTTTTACCATGTTTTTCAACTACTAAACTAACTCACAGCTGTTGATTACTTTACGGTAAGTCGGTTAAAGCGCTGTTCTGGTATCGTAGAGGGTATGGGTTCGATCCTCGTAAAAGTCTGAATTTTTTCAGGTCCTATTTTCATTACAGTTCTAGCAGTATTCACCACTATGAGATCGCTTTAAAATTCACTGTTTAAAGTTGCTTAAGAGATCACCAACTCTTTCAAAGTTATCTTTACCAAAGTGATTAAAAATGGGCCATACATTTGTTTTCTCGAGCCTAGGTTGAAAAGTGTCATAGATAAATGTCAATTACTTTACCCCACATGTAGTAGTACTTAGTGACCAAGAATCTGAGACAATCCGATTTTCACCAAAACATCTAGCACCACTCTTACCTTTTAACTCTGGCCTTCTCAAAGAAATAACTACTGACAGTATGAGACGCGCGCGAGTAAATTGTCTTTTGGTAAATAAGTTATAATGTAGGGTCCAATCGCGTAACTCTACTTAATTTTGACCACCAGTTTGTGTTTTCAACCAGTATTTTGAAACTGTGTGGTATTAAAAAAACTTGACTGAGTCAAATGTTCACGGTGTTTGTAACAAGAAAGAGATAGACCTTTAGCTGACTGAAAAAGAAAAATATGAAATATTACCGTTTTCAATCGAAAGTCGTACTCTTTCATTAGTTACTATCACAGTTCTTAGGTCCCGACCAACAGGAAATGCAAATAAATTAAAGAATAGATAAACAGCCCACATTAGTTTCAAAAATTTATTTTTTCCTTCCGTTTTGGAAACCTAGTTTTCATGAGGGGTATTCCTTCGTAAATGGTCACGTAACACACGATTATGAAAATGGCAACCTCTCATTGAATAATTTATCGTGTTTTACCCTCTGAGATCTTTACAGATATGTCAACACACGACTAAAAAATGAAAAATTAGATGAAAAGTTATTGTAATAATTCTACATTTAATGGTGTGTTTTACTTTAGAAGAAGCAAAGAAATTGGTTTTGAGGCTGAAATCATCAAAGGCCATCCACTTGTTTAGTTAAACCAGTATTTCCTTATTGAAGAAAGATGGTTTTATTTTTTGTTTGTTTTTAATCAAAGAGTTTCAACAACGTTTCTTTCATGGGAAATGCAACAGATCCTAAACTTTTCTTATTTTTAGGAAATGTAAAAAGGCTTAAAAGATCAGTAATTTCGCGTAAGTCTAACGCTTACAGAAAGTACCCCAACTGTGTACTTTTGACCAGCAGCAGGTTTTACTGTGCTATATGAAACTTTTTTCATGTGAGTGGCTCGCATCAACTGAGCTATTGTCACAGCAATGAAAGAAGTAGTGTCTAATTATCTTGTTTATTCTGTTGTGAACGACCCAAGGAAGGGCTTATATTTTATGTGCGGAGGCTATGACTAATCTTGGCCTGTTGGATAATATTTGTTTTTCCTTTCTTTCTTTCTTTCTTTCTTTCTTTATTTGGTCTTTTTTTCTGTGTTGTTCTACTCTTTGTCTTTTTATGAAAGGATGAAAATTGTACAAGCTAAATTAAATTAAAGAACCTAAAGAGTAGATGAAGAAGGAGAACGTTTACAGGCGAAGACAGGCATGAATATCTATCAATAGGTTGGTTTTGGCGGTAACCTATCAAATTCAATTTTCTCTGTTTGCGTTTGTTAGAGGAAAAAAAATTTAGAAAGTTTGTGTCAAATCAGAAAATTGTGCAAGGAAAACCTCTTCCTGAAACGAAGGACGATTGTCTCAAAGAAATGACCTCCTTTTAGGGGAATGAAAATAGAAAGGTTCACAGTGTAAATTTTGTTTTTTTGGTGTCTATCCAGGTAGCATTGTCACGATTGTTCTTCGAACCTACCATACTTGTTAAATTGAAAAGCAACTCTTTGATGGCAGTTTGAATGTATATTGTAGGCTAGACACGTATGTATGAGTAAGTAAAACTTTTTACTTTAACTAGTGTGATGAGAATGAAGTAATGTAATTAGAAAAAAACTTTCCACTTGATAGAAGTTGAAGTGGCATTTTCAACTCTTGGATTTAGTGTGGATCATCGACTTTCCGCGAGTTTGCAAAGATCTCTTTGAACTTTTGCATTTATGCTATCGCAAGGATGGTGAATTTATCAGTAAAACTGCTCTTTCGTGCAATCGTTTCATTAAAAATATCAAGCTAGAAGTATATAAATAGATCTTGTAACACGCACTTGTCGAGGGAAGGGGTGAATGAGCTATCCTGATTACGGAGGTGAAAATTTCTATCTCGTGATGATTTCGTCCTGGGGCCGCACATTTTTTGACACAAACTAACCCAATTTGTATTTAATTTATTTTTAGAGGTCTATTTTACGGCAGTTATTAGTTAACTAATATAAATTTTGATAGACCAATATGTTTAGTGCATCTACACTAAAGTTATCTTTACTTGTTTATGCTAATAACCACGCTAAATATCATTAACCCTTTTAAAAGCATCTCTAGCACTCGATCAATTACCATAAAAAATTGAAATGTCAGTTCATTCGCAAAGAATTTAAAGCACTCCTCACCTTTCTTTCCAGCCTCCTCGATAAAATCAACTTCAAGAATAGCAAATAATTGGACGTTCAGTGAATAATTTATTGTATTGTGTCCAATGAACTAACTCTACACAATGTTCCACCAACCGTTTCGGTGTTTTAACTAATATTGCATTTCGGATAACAAAGAAAGAGATTACTGCCTTGTTTTCTTTTTAACTGGTGTTTAAATTAAAGTGCACCTAAACCCAAAACTGTTTCTTCGCTTAACGAAATAAGCGTATTTTTTGGAGTATTTCTGTGCAAAATTTTTTTTATTTGCTCAAATCTTCAATTTTCTGTGCTCAGTCAAAATACGGAAAATCGGCCGCCATCTTGGCCCACGACCGAGTTTAAAGAGGAATGGCTCTAGCGGGTAATGTGACGTCAAATCGAGAACACGAAAGTCTGCATTTCACACATTTTCACTTGTGTGGGAAGATTGTAGTCGATATTGTCGGAAAATATGCCGACTAAATGTGATGTGAGATACAATGAAATATATTAAGTTCATATATTTTGAACTGCGGTATTAGATACATATGATGCACGATCCTCGCAGTAGATAGCGCTATTTAAGCAATAGCGAAATTTTTTTATTTGCTCAAATCTTCAATTTTCTGTGCCCAGTCAAAATACGGAAAATCGGCCGCCATCTTGCCCCACGACCGAGTTTAAAGAGGAATGGCTCTAGCGGGTAATGTGACGTCAAATCGAGAACACGAAAGTCTGCATTTCACACATTTTCACTTGTTTGGGAAGGTTGTAGTCGATATTGTCCGAAAATATGCCGACTAAGTGTGTTGTAGAAGGATGTAGCAACGTGCGAAATTTGCAAGAGGGTATCGCGCTTCATACATTCCTCATACAACACACCTAGTCGGCATATTTCGGACAATATCGACGACAACCTTCCCAAACAAGTGAAAATGTGTGAAATGCAGACTTTCGTGTTCTCGATTTGACGTCACATTACCCGCTAGAGCCATTCCTCTTTAAACTTGCGATCGGTCGTGAGCCAAGATGGCGGCGGATTTTCCGCATTTTGACGGGGCACAGAAAATTAAAGATTTGAGCAAATAAAAAATTTTTTGCACAGAAATACTCCAAAAAATACGCTTATTTCGTTAAGCGAAAAAATGTTTGGGTTTAGGTGCACTTTAAACTTAATATTTGTTTAAAAAAAGAAAGAAATTTTGATTACGTGTCCAACAAGAAGGAAACGAACTGATATTTGAAAGTGACAGAAAACGAAAAAAAAAATCATTTGGGAGATCTTCATATGTTTGCATTTACCAATAGAGAGACTTTTCGAGAATACCGTCAAAAGTAACACTGAGATGGCAAAGGTGAAACACCAAACGGTCGTTGTCTTCATGTCTCTACACTAATTGG